TATTTCGGATTCGAATTTAAAATTGGGTGGTGTTGCTTCTATTAGAACGGCATTTCCTGTATTTTGGTCCAGCCATGTTTCAGCCATAAGCATAAAATCAAGATCATAAGAAGTGATAAAATTATTAATTAAAAATGATTTGTTACATAGAGATCTGACATTAAGCATAGCAAGTTTAAAATTAACGTCAGAGTCGATTAATGTGGTTGATTGATTTCTACAGGGAACAGAAATTAGATTTGCAGAGTTGGACCGTCTAACTGCTGTCCTGTTTTGATTTCGTTTTTTAGAATTTAAAAACATTTTTGAGCTGGTGCGAGGAACACACACAGTCTCAATTGGCCTAAAATGTGAAAACCCTTGTTGTTGTTCTTTAGCTCCCAGAGTCAGAAGGGTGTCAGCACAGTTCAGTGTTTGGACTGGTAATGCACTGCCAGACGGACAGGGAGCAGTGTTTTACACCGTTGTACTCACCCGGTGCTGGTGAGCAGGAGGCGGGGGAGTGCGGTGGGGTCCGAAGGGGCTCAGATGTAAACAGTCACGCCCCCCTCGGGGAACGCTGAACAACATGACGCATGTAGTCCATCAACAGGCTGCTACCGTATCTGTTTGGGTGTAATCCGTCTGGACGATAGGCTTCGTAACGTTTCCAGAAAAGGGCAAAGTTATTCACAAAGACAAAGTTAAAAGAGCTTAATGAAAGACTTCAACAAAAAAGTTTGCCAGATCCCCTTATCCTCCACAATTAACATGCTCTGAGAGTTTGGGAGAGGTTTGTGGTGTGTTGTGTAGTAATAAACAATGTTATGTGTGAATTATACACACCTATATGTATATATCTTTTAAATTAATTCTTACTACTGTAATCGTTCAAATATTTTTATATGAAATTGCTTGGATGGATCTCTATTAAATCAAATCCTTGTATGATTTCCGGACCCTAATCTATTGAACTGATTAAGTAAGTGGACCCCTTGCCAATTTAATTGGGGACCCCTGCAACAGATAGTTGTCCCCAGGCAGGGTTAATGTCCTGTAACTGTTAATAAAGAACAGAAAAATAAAATAACTGGAGGTGGTTAGCCTTACTCCACTGAACCACATTTTGGATCTCTGCTCTGTAAGAGGATTCGTCATTATTGCTGATGAGGCCAATGATGGTGGCGTCATCAGCATTTTTAATTATCAAGTTATAGTCAGAGGAAGAGACACAATCATGTGTGTACAATGTCAAAATCAAAGGACTCAAAATACATCCCTGAGGCGATCCGGTGCTCACAGAAACAACATCTGAAAAACAGTCATTGATTTTCACTCTCTGAGATCTGTCAGTTAAAAAGCTAAAAATCGACTTACACATTGCAACACTTAAATCGAGAGACATGAGTCTACCTGGGACAAGGCAATTAAAAGCAGAGCTGTAATCAATGAACAGCATTCTCGCGACAGATTTACTAGTGTCCAAGTGACTGTAGACAGAGTTCAATGAAAAGAAGATTGCATCCTCCACACTCCTGTTCTGTCTGTAAGCAAATTGGAGAGGGTCAACACTCACAGGGATTTGGCTCTTAATGAAGTCCAACACGAGCCGCTCAAATGTCTTCATAAGAACAGACGTGAGGGCCACAGGACGATAGTCATTCAGGCAGGAGTTTTCTTAGGAACTGGGATGATGGTCGACTCTTTAAAGCAGTTTGGCACAGTACAGTTCCTTAGCGACAGGTTGAAAATGTCTGTTAACCCACTGAGGCCGGGAACGCATTCCCGTGTTTCTACCTTTCAAGCCGGGAGCGCTGATGCGCACTTCTACCTTTAAGGCCGGGAAAGCGGACACGTCTTTTTTTCTTTTTTTGACCTATTCTCTTCATTGATCAGTTCTCTGGACCAATGAAATGCATCAAGATAAATCAGGGATGAGAATTATCTGCGGATCTGCGAATTCTGACTTTTTCTCACTGGAAATGGCTGTTTGCGTTACGTACTCGAACGGGATAAACATCCTCCGTTCTGACCCCGGGAGCAACTGTGGACGCTTTGACACAGCTCAGCGAACGTGCAGCCGTAATGTGGTCATGTACCGCGGACCATAGATGCGGACAGAATCATACACGCGCGATCAGGACCATCACTGCACGTGCAGGTCTTGCCTGTCCTCCCGTCTCTCCCCCATCTCTCCCCCATGACTCTACCCCGTCTCCCTGAAGTCTCCTCACAAAGCGCAGCCAAAACTCACTGAATTAAAGCTCAGGTATGTTATATATTTGTGCAAAACAAAACAAAACAAACCACAACAGTCATTTTTTATTTTATTTTGCTTACTTAATTTAAGAAAGAGCCCAGTGAGTCATTATTTGACTTTTTGAGCTGAGTGGATTTTTTATATTTTTTTTCTATTGTTAGTGCCATTCTATTGCCAAATTCTTTGTGACTTATTGTATTGAGAAACATGTGTTAGTGACATTTTTTAGGCTGTTTTATTACCTTTCTTGTGTGGAAGTTGTATATTTTTTCTTTTATTCTACTGAAGGTTTATAATAATACACTGCTCTCTTCTTGACAGCCACAAGTGTCAGCTCTCAAATTCTTTTGAAATAATGTTTCTATCTGTTTCAGAGGCCGAGATATCAATCATTTAGTAGAAGTTGAATTTCAGGAAAACTTCAGGTTTTGGAGGGTGGTTCTAAAGTCGGCCATAGGTTTTACAGGTCTGTTTTACCAGGTGGGTCAGGCCTTAATGGGTTAAAACAGGGGCAAGTTTCAGGACACAAGGAGGGATGCCGTCCGGGCCCGGGGCTTTCCGGACTGTGGTCCTGCACAAGACACGCTTGAGGGCATCTTGATTGAAACAATCAGAGAATACAGCAGGACAGACATCAGCAGATTCAAAGCGACAGTATTAAGCTCATTTGGCAGAGCTTGGCCAACAGATGCAATTTTCCCAGCACGTGGTTTCCAGGGAGTGATGGCTTTTATACCGTTCCACAAGCGGCGAGGGTGATCTTCCTCAAAATAACCCTGACCCTAACCTGTCCCCGTAACTGCGATTTGCAGATTTAATAGAACGTTTCAATGAGTAACCGGAAACCTTGTAAGCAAGTGTATCATTTGATTGAAACGCTAAAGCCCGCTCGAAAAAGCCGAGCTGTTTTAGTTTACATTGAGTTCTATGGGGAAAATTTCTGGGTAGCACACGTGAATTTAGTCTGGTTTTGTCTGCAGTACCGTGAGAATCCCCCGAGCAGATGGGTCCTTCAGCTCCAAGCAAATAATACCCTATCCAGTTATTATAATAGATCCATGGATATCCCACATAATCGCTAAAAACAGTAAACCTCTCACAGAGGGAGAGTTTGATTAGCAGTGTTTGGTGGACTCTGCTGCTTTATAATGCCCTGAAAAGGAGCATTTGAGTAAGTCCCGTTGTGGAGGGAATGGGGAAGAGAAAGAACTCTATTTTCAGTTATCTATTTTCAAGTTCAGTGATGTTAAGTGACAATTCAATATAATGTGTTTTGCTTGGCTAATATTTGGAGCACAAAGGTAATAATGTAGTTTTCTTATGGCAGTGTTATTCAACCTTTTTTGAGCCAAGGCACACTTTTTTCATTGAAACAATCTTGTGGCACACCACCAGGAGAAAATGTAAAAATATATACCCTGTTGCCTATATTCACTATATAAAGTCAAGTGCTTAAATCCAGGCCTTGACATTAAGTGTTATTTAATATTCATCAGTACAATGAGTTAACAAGAGTTTGGGAATAAAGTGGCACTAACTGTGTGGAAAGAAATATTAAAATAATCCACTCTCAGCCCAAAAAGTCAAATAATGACTCAGAGGGCTCTTAAGTATGCAAAATAATAAAACAAAAATGGCCGGTTGTGTGTTCTGTTTGATTTGTTCACAACATTTTACTTTTGTGCACAAATAAAATGCATTGTTAAGGCATGGGGAAAATGTAGGTATCCAAGCTTTAATTTTGAGAGTTTAGGTTGCGCTTCGAGAGACTTAATATTAAGAGTCTATGGAGGAGACACGGAAGAGACACGGGGGAGACAAGAGAGAGACACTGTGGTTCTGTCTGCGCGTCTATGGTTTTGTCTGCGCGTCCATGGTTCTGTCCACGCGACTAAGGTCCACGCTCGGTACCACGTTACAGATGTGCGTTGGCTGAGCTGTTGTCAAAGCGGCTGTCAGTACAAAATACTGCCTTATGGTACATTCACTGGGCATGTCCACTAATAAAAGCCAATAAATCATATTTGTAAAATAACAAAAACATTGTTTGTAAGGCAACCTCACTGTTCATTGTTTGATTATAATATAATATATCCATCCATTCATCCATTTTCATTCGCTTCATCCGACCCGGCAACCTCGTCAAAACAATGCTATTCAAGTCAATAATATATATTTTTTACTTTATATGTTTCTATATATAGATAGAAGCCCTGATGCAGAGTGGATCAATGGCAAAGGACACATTTCTCTATGCAGACAATAAAGTATACCTATTGTTAAGTTGAGTTCCTTCTTCATGAGTTGGCTACATACAGAGATTTTCTGCTTCTCCCAATGAACTCTGAAAAATACAAATAAATGATTGAATTGTTTGTTATTCTTGAATCATGTTGAAGATTCCCACTTCTATCTACAGTATGCTCATCATTGACCTCTCTACACTTCTGGCACTTCTCAAATCTCATTCGGTGCAAGTTTTGTCTCTTATTTCATTAATAATCTCTGTCATGTTTCACATTGCATTAGCGGCACACGTTGACACCAATCCTCCCTCTGAGTTAGTCCAAACACACACATGTGCTACACCACTCCCGCCTCCCTCCTTCCGCCCGCAGCCTCAACTCCACGGATTCTGTAATTTGGAGCCAGTGTTTCAGCATCAGATAGCAGTGTTTATGTCGGGGCAATCATGATTTGGTTACATTTTGTTGAATAAGTGTTGGTCCTTTCGAAATGTTGTTGTTGTGCTTGTTTTCAGACTGGCGGAGGAGCTGTACCAACGCGTCAAGAGGATGTTTGGAGTCCCCCATCAGGCCACAGAGGACCTCAAAACTGAAGTACTATTTCTGCATCATGTTATGCAGCATTTCCATTACGCTTTAGTATCTGGTACCGAATCCTAGCAACCTACTCACATCAAACCAGTATCTAGGGAAATTCCTTGGTAACCATGGCTTACAGCCTCACACTGGCCAATCACTGTAGGTTAGAACATTTTAGTACCAGCTTGGCCTGATAGAACCAGGGCCAAGAGTGACTATAGAAGGATCTGGTACTTGTTAAACAAGGCCAGTGGAAACACTCTCAATAACAAAAAGTATTTTCTAACACAATATTGTGTCTATTGTGATATACTGTATGTGTGGTTAAAACTCCATGAAAGCTCATTTCCAAAAAATATTCATAATTTTGTGCATCTATCATTAGATCAAAGAAAAACTGTCAGACCATGAGAGAAAGCTCCAGGAGGCCCAGGAGCTGCTGAACGAAGCCCAGGGGAAGACCCGCACGGCTGGGGCTTTGGTTCAACAGAACCACGCTAATCTCACAGCTCTGGAGGTATCACCACAATTCAAACATTTTGTATCTTTGTGATCTTCATGTGAATGTAGAAACTAATCAACCTGAGTCTGGTGTAGACAATAGCATGTGCTGTTTGCTTTTGTAGCACCCTCAAGATGAGGACACCTGAGCATATTCTTGAGAACTTCGAAAATATCATCCATCCATCCATTTTCTTCCCTTTAATCCATTTCCGGGTCGGGGGGGTGGCAGTCAGAGCTGCACCCAGTACAGATAGCATCAGCCCTTCACTGATCCTCCTGCAGGTGGTGAGTCCACAGGATAGTGGACCATAGTGGGCAAAACATCTATTTATGGGTCATCTTTTCAGGCTGATCTTGTGTCTGTGATAATGTCTGACTTATCTGGTAAAGCTGTGATAGTGATGTGTTCTTTAATGAGTTTTTTTTTTCTGACGTTCCTCCAGAGGAAGCGTGATGGCATAAGTGTGGTCCAGCAGATGACTCAGGACGTTTTAGCTGAAGGAGAAAACCTGCTGGATGAAGCCAACAACCTCTCAGACGACATAAACAAAGGGCTTGAGGTAACAAGCAGCAGTGTGTTAGCAAACCAATTTAGAGTAAGGGCACGGTCACATAGGTTTTTACAAACGAACTAGGCCAAGTGGCCCAGATCGTCGCCACATGGGTTTGAAGACGGTCCGGGGTCACAAGGGCTTGTTTTCGCAAACGTGCCAGAGCAACTGTGCTGTAGAACAACGATCGGTCCAGCTGGTGGCGCTAATAGTAACTCCAAGGACTACCTTGTTGTCAGAGTTAAGTTTCCGTTTCTCTTCCTGTTTACACTCTATTACTGTAGCGCTAACAGCTCGTGCATGGAACGCGTTGTTTGCATCAGAGCAATGTGTAGAAGTGTGAGATGTGTCTTTCCCCAAAGTGCAGTAGCTCAGTGGGACACGTGTGTGTGGTGTGGGCGCGCCGCGGACACAGGAGCGTGGTTTGGATTGAAGAGCGTAAGCGCTGAGAAATGAATGAATGAGAATGAAAGAATGAAAAGTGTGGCCTACGAGCAGAGCAACCGGAGGCAGGCAGGATACAAGTGTGTGTGTGTGTGTTCTGGCAAGTCTGAAGTGTTATTGCAAAAGCACCAACTGTGACAAAGAGGGTCAGAACAGAAGGGAGTTATTCCCGATAGGAAACGCTTCCCTTTGGCTCTGGAGCGACACACTCCCCAGCGTCCCTTGACCACGATCCGGGGGCTTATATGAAAAGTTTAACACAAGCAGGGAGAATACAAAAGTATGCGACTGCTGTAGAGTCGTGTGTGAAAATGCGCATCACAGCGGGCAAAGCAGGAAGACGTAATGTGATGTACAATATCGTAAGGCATAATAAAAATCAGCATACACTTCTAAGGTATAACATTTAAAATAGAATTATTAGGATTACAATTACTATATACAATATACAAGTGGTATATTGTATATACCACAATATGCGGTATGTAAAATAACGTGACAGCATTAAAGTGATGTTATGATGGGCAGTAAATTGACTTTATAAAGGGCAGCAAGGTGACTTATAAAGGTTGGGGGGACAGGTTACGAGTGTTCAAGAATCCAACAGCAGAGGGGAAGAAACTATTCTTATGGTAGGATGTTTTGGTCCTGATGGGCCTTCGTCTCCTGCCACTAACACTAACTGCCCAACAGACCCTCCTGCATCGGCAAGGAAAAACTCACAAAAACCAATGGGAAAAAAGTGAGAAACCTCGGAGAGACCCACATATTGAGAAAGGGATCCGCTCCTACACGGACGGACGGGCTAATGATCCAGGACCTAAGCTACAGAAAGAGGACCAATGCCACGCAGCGGCTGCAGAACGTGGACAGGTCCGGTGCAGGACTGAAGCGCTCCCAGGCGGGTCTGGCAGGACAGTCCGCAGGTGCAGATGGAGGGGGGCAGGGCAGTCCGCAGGTGTAGATGGAGAGGGCCGGTTCAGAAGTCCTGTTGTCGTGCCATGAAACAGACAATGGGACAATGGGTGAATAGCAAAGAACACACTACAGTCAAAATCTTCATAATGCAGACAGGTGCAGGACTGAAGTGCTCCCAGCCGGGTCAGGCAGGGCAGTCCGCAGGTGAAGATGGAGAGGGCCGGTTCAGAGGTCCCGTTGTCGCGCCATGAAACAGACAATGGGACAACGGGTGAATAGCAATGAACACTACACTACAGTCAAAATCTTAATAATGCAGACAGATAGAGTCGGAAGGAGAAGAGGATAGTGCTCAAGTTACCATACTTCTTCCAGCAAACTGACTCCCTACGCAGCTTGACTGGCAGTCTAAGGTGTTTAGCCTTCCCTTAGTCTTGCCTTCCCTTAGTCTTACCTTCCTAACCATATGCTAAACTGAAGAGGACTATTTTAAGCCTAGCCTTGAATATAGAGACTGTGTCCGAACGAAGGTGAGACAGCAGCAGCCACGGCTAGACTAGCCCAGGCTACAACACCAAAGATTTGTGGATTACAAAGAGTGTTTTAACCTGGCCTTAAATGTGAAGGCCGTATCTGCTTCCTTTGGTACCTGTTAAGATCCTTGCTGCTTTAAAGAGGTTTTAGGGCACGCTGCCAGTAAAGCGTTACAGTAGTCAAGCCTTGAGGTGACGGCATGAATCAGTTTTACCGCGTCACTTTTAGTGAGTAAGTAAGTAATCTTTATTTAGATACTGCCTTTCACAGAGCAGAGTCACAAAGCGGTTTACAATTGTTATTTTTTTTATTTTATTTTATTACTTTTTTGAGGGCATTTGTCCACTCATTCCACACAGAGATGGGAGTGGGGTCGCACGTACAGGAGGCACATGCCAGACCTATTGTACATGTTTTAGTGGTAGGGGAAACCGGAGTACCCGGAGGAAACCTACACAGACACGGACAGAACATACAAACCCCACTCAGAAAGGCCCTGTTCCGAATGGGATTCGAACCCAGGACCTTCTTGCTGAGAAGCGAGAGTGCCCACTCAGCCACCGTGCCGCTTTTAGGAAGGATACTCCTGATTTTAGCGATGTTCCGCAAGTGGAAGTACGCTGTTTTAGTTGCTTGGCTTATATAAGTCTTGAAAGAGAGTTCTTCGTCGTAAATGACTCCAAGATTCCTCGCAGTGTTGCTGGGTACAATACTGACATTATCGAGAGTGATTATCTGGTCGGCAAGGGAGTCACACAGACTCTTTGGGCCGAGTAGGATCACTTCTGTCTTCTCCGGATTAAGCAGTAAGAAGTTAAGAGTCATCCAACGTTTTTAGATCTCTGATTATAAATATAGGAGCCCTGTGGGACTTCTTTATTTATAATCAGAGAGTCCAAGACATTCTTACCCAGACGCACTCGCTGCTTCCTGTCTGTCAGGAAGTCAGTAATCCACCTGCAGGTGGAATCGGGCACGTTGAGCAAGTTCACAAACTTTAGGTTACTTGCTTAACCCCGGTTCTCTGAGTAGTATGAGTGAGATGTCTCACTATGGGAACGCCCCCCTCGAGTGTTCACAGAAGCCCTATACCATTACGCCAGCCCTGAGTGGTTGGCAGTGGTGATGTCGCGACGTTGGCACCCACTATAAATGCCACTCGTACGACGTCGCCCGCCATTCAATAAGCACACCTCTTTTCGCTTCACCCCTAAAGCAAGAAGGGCGATCTGGTGAGACATCTCACTCATACTACTCAGAGAACCGGGGTTATGCAAGTAACCTAAAGTTCTCTTTCATAGTATTCGTTTCGATGTCTCACTATGGGATATGGAGACTCCCGTATTGCCAGACAAGCTTATCGCAATGACATGATGCCAGCCAAAATCCCATGAGAGAGCCAAAGATCAGGGCATGTCTTCAGGAGAACCCACGCTGAGGACGGCGTGAGACAAACCCTGAGACGTGACGTCCAACCTGTAAAACCTTGCAAAGGTCAAGGATGAAGACCAACTAGCAGCAGCACAAATGTCCTGAATAGGCACACCCCTGAAACAGGCCCATGAGGTCGCCAGGCCACTGGTAGAATGGGCCCTAAGGCCAACCGGGACCTGCAGGCCTGCAGTGGAATAAGCCAATGATATGGCCTCCACCACCCAATGAGAAAGCCTCTGTTTTGAAACAAGCTTTCCTCTGTGGGGTTTTGCCCAAGGCACAATTAGCTGGTCCGCCTGTCGAAAAGACCTGGTCTTCTCAACATAGGCCTTGAGAGCTCTGACAGGGCACAGCCTGTGCGACTCCTGCTCCTCAACAGAAGTGCCGAGTGGGGAACTAAAAGCCTCCACAATGACCTGGGTGCAGGCACCAATCACCTTTGGGATAAATGCTGGATTGGGACGCAGAGTCACCCTGAGATTATCAGCACTGAACCGCATACACGCAGGGTGCATAGATAAAGCATGGATATCACTGATACGTTTTGCTGTGGCCAAAGCTACCAGCAATATAGTCTTCAATGATAACGTCTTCAAGTCAATGTCCTCCAACGGTTCAAAAGGATGGACAGAAAGAGCCTGTAGAACCACAGCCAGATCCCACGAAGGGGACATGGTTCTGGACACAGGCAGTAATCTCCTAGCTCCCTTCATAAAACGACAGATCAGCGGATGCTGGCCCACAGTTTTGCCATCAAAGCCAACATGACATGCCGAAAGAGCAGCCAGATAAACTTTGATAGTGGAGAAAGAAAGCCTTTTTCTTTTCAATAAGGTCCTGGAGGAATGACAAAATGACATTCAAGGGACAATTGAAAGAAAACACCCCCTGTGAAATGCACCAATCCTCAAAAACCTTCCACTTACGGTCATACAGAGACCTCGTGGAAACGGCCCTGGTGCTCTGAATGGTATTGATCACATTCTGAGGGAGACCAGCCGCAGAGAGACTTAACCACTCAGGGGCCAGGCCCGTAGTGCAAGTCTCTCGGGGTCAGGATGAAACACCTCTCCGTTCGCCTGGGTCAGAAGATCCCTGCGTAACGGGAGAGTCCAGCGGTGCCCGCACAGTAACTGTTTGACGTCCGCCAGCCAAGGCATGGACGGCCAGTGCGGGGCTATCAGAACCAGCCTCAGGTGACGTTCTCTTACTCTGAGGAGAGTGGGAGGAATCAGCGCTAGAGGCGGAAAGGCATATAGCGGCACCTGAGGCCACTCGTGAGAGAACGCGTCCACTCCCAGAGGCGCACGGTGATCGTGTAGGGAGAAGAACAGTGGGCAGTGAGCTTTCTCTGTGGATGCGAACAGATCCATCGATGCGTGGCCAAACCTGACCCGGATCTGGTCCACAACCCATGTGTTCAGACGCCACTCTCCGTATAGGGGGTTTCCTCTGGACAGGAGATCTGCGCCCACATTCAGAACGCCGGGAACATGTGTCGCTCTTAAAGATAAGAGGCGCGCATTGCTCCACAGGAGAAGCTTGCGCGTGAGCGCGAGCAAGCAGCGGGAGCGCAGTCCCCCTTGGCGATTTATCTGAGCCACAGTGGCTGTGTTGTCTGTCCTCACCAGCACATGGTGCCCCTGGAGGAACGGGAGAAAATGTTTCAGCGTAAGTGCCACTGCCATGAGCTCCAAATAATTTATATGAGCGCGGCGGAGGTGAGGACTCCATACCCCGTTTACGGGTCTGCCGTCAAACACACCGCCCCAGCCCGTGAGGCAAGCATCTGTGGTCACCACCTTCCTGGACGAGACAGTGCCCAAACTCACCCCTTCGGTCAGAAGATCCCTCCTGTGCCACTCTCTTAATGCGAGCGCGCACTGAGGAGTGACCTTGACTGTGCGCATACGGTGACGTACTGTACGGGATCCAGCTTTAGCGCATGCACCCAGAGTTGGAAGCTCCGCATGTGAAGTCTACCCAACTTCACAACCATAATCACCGAAGCCATCAGACCCAAAAGTCTGAGACACAGACCGAAGGAAACTAGTTTCCCTGGAGAGAAACGAAGTAGCGTCCCCACAAATGTGCGCACCCTCTCTGGAGAGAGACGGGCCATGTAACCGACAGAGTCCAGTTTGAGACCCAGAAACGCAATGTTCTGACTCGGCTGTAACACACTCTTGGTTGTGTTGACAACAAATCCCAGACCGAGCAGATGTTTGAGAACCACATCTGTTTGAGTGACAGCCTCCCCTCGCGTGCGCGCAAGGAGGAGCCAATTGTCCAGATAAATAGCCAGACGTATTCCCCGCTCTCTGAGGGGGGATAACGCGGCCTCGGTGCATTTCGCAAACACTCTCGGACTTAGAGAAAGGCCGAAAGGGAGCACTGTGTATTCGTAAGCTACGCCTTGAAACAGAAACCGTAGGTATTTCCTGTGAGGCGGATAAATGGGAATGTGAAAATATGCGTCTTTCAGATCTATTGATTTGAACCAATCGCCTGGGTGCACTAAACGGATCAAGGCCGAGTGTGTGAGCATTCAAAACTTGTATCTCCTTAGATAGAAATTCAAAGCTCTTAGATCCAGAATGGGGCGAAGACCGCTTCCCCCCTTCTTTGGAACCAGAAAATACCTGGAATAGAAACCGCTCCGCTTCAGTTCCGGTGGTACAATCTGTATGGCCTTTTTCTGTAGCAAAGAGGATATTTCCTCTGCCCGAATGACGGCTGATTGTCCTTGTGCCTGACAAGACAACAGGCCGTTGAATTTGGGAGGCACGGTGGAAAACTGCAGCCTGTAGCCCCGTGTTATCGTTCCAAGCACCCACTTCGAGTCTGTGCATTTGCTCCACTACTCCGCTCTGAGAGACAGGGAGGGACTTATGTGTGGACCTTTGTCGCCCTCTACTGACAGAGGTGGTGGAACCGGGTCGGACTGCGCATCCGCGGTCTGTAACCATGGGGACAAGCTGACTGGGGACCAAGAGGGTGGTAGTGCCCTCTGTTGGCCCGAGACGAGCGCTCAATGTATTTTTCAACATTTTGTCCTTCTTTTTTTATTCTTTCAAAGTACAATACTGCGCCCTCAGCGTTACGCCTGGATGCGACAGTGAACTTTTTATTTGCATTTTTGAATGTATGTGTGTGTGCTTGAGAGACTTGTGAGGCACAGGACACTCCAGCACATGAACCACGTCTCTCATCCTCTTGATCAGGACTCTCCGGGGACTCGCCAGGTCCGGACCAGACGGAGGGGGGCACATCACGCCACCAGGGAGAACCACCTCCCGTGGCACACTCACAGGGTCGTGCAGAACCGGAACCGGGTCGACCCTGTTGATTAGCAGCGGGGTGGACTGCTAAGACGCCTTCTTCCTCCTCCTCTGCTGCTGAGACGCACCCGTGGGCGGTGCAGCAGCCTGCGGGGCTGCAGAGCCCGTGGCCGTCTTGGGCCACATGGGTCTGACCACCTGAGGGCCAGCTGGCCAACATGCCCATACATTTCCCCACAGCCTGAACTGCGCAGCGTTGAACACGTAGGCATAGGTCAGACACAGTGGTAATGTCGTCCCATGCAGCACTGTCAGGGACGGTGGACATGTCCTCAAATAGCTCCGCTTGGTACGCAATCAGCATAGACGTAACATTAAGAGCCCTGACCGATAGAGCGGCCGCCTTGTACGCTCGCTCAGTCATGGTGGACTGGAATCGGTCAGCTTTTGAGGGGTGGGCAGGTGGTCTGGTGGATGTTGCCGAGAGCTTCGGGTGAAGATGGGCCGCAACCATGGGCTCGGTCTGAGGCATACGAGCCATACCGAGTTTGTCCATACCAACGAAGTCCAGAGAAGAAGTGCCCAAAATGGGGCTCTTATTGGAGTAGGGATGGTCTTTCCAAGAGGCTGACACTTCCTCGAGAAGCTCTGGAAACACCGGGAGAAGCTGTCGCGCTGCCCGTTTAGCCTGGGGTAATTTCTTCCCCTCGTAGCGGGAGCGGGGAGCCTCCGCAGCAACCGGGGGCCACGGGATGTCCAGCCTGTCTGCAGCGCGTTTGCACACGTCATGCAGATCAGCTCTGAGCAATGGCTGTGCAGCTCCGCTATCATCCCTAGCCTGAGCCGTGAGCGGAGAGGCTTGACCTGAGGGGACAAAAAAGGAAGGGTCCTCTTCGTCGTCAGACACCAAAAACTTCATTTTCATTTATTTATTTATTTAATATGGACATAGCAATTAACATTGGACGAACCAGATGCATTGTTTAAAGTGTTGTAGCACAAGTGCTAATTTTCAACACCTGTCCATAGGGGGCTTTTAGGTTACTCCTCACCAAAGGAACCATCGTCCTCATAATCCAAGAGGAGCAGTCCATCTTGGAGAAGGTTCTCAAGGTCCAGTGTAGAGCTCCAGCTTAACTTGGCCGGGGCAGCCTGGGCAGCTGCTCCAGTCCCGGTGTCAGCTACAGCCTGGGCGCCCCCTCCGAGCTGGTGTGCTGCGGTAGTGGGCTCAGGCTCGGTCATGGCCGGGTCTCTGACAGAGAGGCTAGCTTGGCGTGCTAGCCTGCGACGTAGACTCTTGGCCGTGAACCGGGAGCAGTGCATGCACGATCCGGGATTCTCAAGTGCGTCCCGGGCGTGTTCCAGCCCAAGGCACGCCGAGCAGACCTGGTGTGTGCCGTTGCTCAAAATCTTGTTCCCGCAGGTGCAGTGCCGGACACCTTCCAACTCCGTGGAAGGAGACAGCTTTGCAGCTGTAGCCATGACTGATACCTGGTGTGGTAGCAGGCAAAGCAGGGAGTTAGCCTGGTGCAGCTAACAAATAAAAACTCTGAAGCTAGTCACGCACTAGCTAGTGACAGCTAACGTTCGGCAGCAGAGGGATAAGCTCTTGCCTGTGAACAGTTAAATTAGCCGTCAGACACACTGGAGTTGCGGTAACTTTGCTCTGTGAAGCAAGAAGAGGTGATTGAATGGCGGGTGACGTCGTACGAGTGGCATTTATAGTGGGTGCCAACGTCGCGACGTCACCACTGCCAGCCACTCAGGGCTGGTGTAATGGTATAGGGCTTCTGTGAACACCCGAGGGGGGCGTTCCCATAGTGAGACATCGAAACGAATACTATGAAAGAGAACAGGATCCTCGCATAGGAACCCGGGGAGTCCAGGTGCTGTAGGATGTGGATGTGGTGGAGGGTCAGGTTTATGGCGTCATCTACAGATCTGTTAGCTCTGTAGGCGAACTGCAGGGGGTCCAGGAGGGGGGAGGTGAAGGACTTGAGGTGGGGGAGAACCAGGCGCTCAAATGACTTCATGACTACAAATGTCTGAGCCACAGATCTGCAGTCATTACGTCCAGTGATCCTGGACTTCCTAGGGACGGGGACAATGACTGAGGTTTTGAAGCAGGTGGGGACGTGGCAAGACTCCAGCGACTTGTTGAAGATGTCGGTGAAGACTGGGGACAGTTCGTTTGCAAAGTGTCTCAAGGTGGCGGGTTAGATTCCATCCTGGCCGGCGTCAATTCAGAGATGCAGCCTAGAGAACTGTCGTCTGGTCTCCTCAGGAGCTATTTACAGTGAGGGAGCAGAGGAGCTGAGGGGTGAGGTGTCGAATGAGCAGTGGGGGGTAGGTGTCAGGAACTACATCAAAGCGGCTGAGGAACAGGTTTAACTGCTCAGCCAATTTGCGGTTGTCATCGCAGTGGGGGGCTCCTGGTTTGTAATTGGTGATCAAACGGAGCCCCCTCAAAAGACACAGATGAACCTTTCCATTCAAACTGAAGACAATCTAGAGACATTTTTGACTTTTGTAATTTTCTTTTGTTGATAATTTGGCTTCTACCTAAACTAAAGTGTTCATTTTGGAATCCTGTCTATTTGATCCACTTTTCTCTACACCTGTAACAAGGCATAATGTTTTAATGTGAGGACAAGACAAAACGTCAGAAGACGCAGGAATCAGTTACACACTACGGTGATCTCTGCATCAGATATCCAGGTGAAGCTGTTGTTGTATTTGCAGGAATTGGAAGAGATGCAGACGGAGCTCGGCCCGGTTTACAGAGACCTGGAAGCTAAAGTTTCCCACCTCACAGAGGGGCTCGGTGGAGGTAGGCTGGCAAGCCACGTCACCGAAGCACAAGACTACGCCAAACAGCTCAATGAGTCTGCTGCTGTTCTGGACAGGTACAGTGCACACAGAGCTGGAACCTTTTCTTATGTCTCTTAAAAATAAGAGCATGACTTCAGTATGTAAACAACTTCACTTATGCTACGTGATGAACTCATTGAGATACACACACACAAACGTTTGGGATGTTTGGCTTTTGGTGAGAAATATGTATTTAAAAAAAGGTTTAAGTTAAATTCAATTCAGTGTATTTGTGTATTGCCCTAAATCACAACAATAGTCGTCCCGAAGGACATACTTGTTGGATTTGCCAATAACAGATCAGAGAATCAAACAGTTCCAAAACAAGATATGCAATAAAAGCAAACACATAAGAGCCATTGGCGAAATGACCACTGTTCAGAAATGTTAATAAATGTGCAGAAAGATTCCGGATTATCACTGTCCTTTGTGCCCCGTGCAATGGCAAGGAACCACTTACCTCAGGGAGACCCATATTGAGAAAGAGATCCTCTACCACGTTGGAGCATGTAATGGTGATTTCCTCTCAGTTTATTAAAACAATATTAACCACAGCAGGGATGTGCCACATCAGAAATTTATGTTTCTATAACTTGAGCATCAATTACAACTTTACAGATGAGGTTTTCCAGTTCCACCACTGTTTTTTCACATGGTTCTCAGAATGACCTCAGAAAGTTCACCAAAAAGTTGTATTTGGCATTTATCAGAGAGTTAAAAGATCCTTTCCTTCTCCCACAGTAGGGAAATTGCAGAATTTACGCACATCATGTACATAAATTCTGCAATGTATGATACATCAGTTAAATAATCTTTCACAAAATGAAGAAGAGGGAAACGTGGTGGTACCTGTTAAAAGGACATTCTGTATCTCTATCTGTGGAAAAAAGTTGATTTTTGTTTAAAAAGTGATTTTGGAAAAGAAAAAAATATTTAGATTCAGATTAATTTATTCATTGATTTTCCGAGGGATATTTTTTCTTGAAACAGGTCATTAGCACCATATTCAGAAAAGGACAAAACACAACATCACAGGTCACACACTGTACAGTCTCGGTGCTATATAACAGTTTCCTGGACTGAGCCACAAAAGGATTCTTTTTTACAAACCAGCTCACTATTCCACACCTTAAACAGAATCAACTGCTTTGTAGGTTTCACAGAGACAACTATCCAAACTTCATGTGTTTGACAGTGATGTAAACATTGTTTGTGACAAACACATTATCTATCTTTCTATACCCTAAAACAAGTAATCCTTTAGTCTCCTACAGACCACTATGATGGACTGAAAGGTCCTATGCTGACCTCTCATACAGCAGGCACTGGGTCACGTATGCAAAGAAATCAACATTTTCCACATAATCAGCCACAAAAAGCCCCTGTAAGTACAATTTTTGTGATCAGGAGTTTTTTTAAACCTGTTCGTGTCCCTGGATCTACAGCCTGTCCGTCCACGGGAGTATATCTCTCTATCAATATGGGCCTCCACAAGGTTTTTGAGTGATACACAAATACATTGACTTGAACAGAATTGGACATATATGTGAACGTTGGTGGACATCTAGTTATTTATTGGTTTCTCATAATGTAGTGTTTGTACAATATAAGCTATTTGCTTTGGTTAGAAAAAAACGTTTGAAATGCAGAGTGTAATTATATGTATTTACACATAGGCAAAGATTTCTGAAGTAACCTCTTCTTTGACCTTTCCTGCTTCAGCATTTTGGCCGAGGCACGTAATCTGTCTTTCAACGCCACAGCTGCGTTTAAAGCCTACAGCAATATCAAGGCCAATGTGGACGCAGCAGAGAAGATGGCCAAAGCTGCCAAACAGGCGGCTGCTGAGGCTCTCTCTTTGGTGAGGAACAAACCAACAATATTTCAATTTCACATTTCATTTTATTTATTTTATTAGTTTAGTTGACAGGGACATTGTGCATTAATGAAACATTTCTGCAAATGCACCAGAATTAGCCAAGCAGGCTATTTTTTATCTGCAGTCCCTGGGCAGGTGTACATAGTCTCCCTAAAGATATGGAGCAGGAATGTAATATCTCAGGGTTCATGATCACGGAGCATCTTTACAAATGTGTATGTGGACATCACTATATACATAGTATAGCACTTTCAACCACTACTACAAAACCACACTGATCCTCAGAGCTTGAGATTTACTGTCTCGGGGACACTGATTTGCTATAAAAGTTATAATTGTGCTATGATATTGAAGTCATTGTGCACATCTAAGTTACTAACCAGAAGAAATCCAGTTGTTTGCTTCATCTGTCCTATTCTTATTTAAATGTATTGTCTGTATTCTATTGAAAAGCCACAGAAAATCCATGTATGTAAGTTATTTAAATTCTAAGGCACCAGTCATTTTCTAAAGGTATGTGTTCTAAAACGTCAGTGTTAAGATTATCAAAACATGCGCTGCAAAAGCTTTGTTGACTTTGATTTATTCACCAAGGCAATTGGAGGCTGTCCAGCAGGGTAACGCTTTATATTAAGGTGTGCTTATTAAGTATTAATAAGGTATTAATAGACATTAGCATCATGCTTATAGATTCCTTATATGTACTTATAAACATATTAATAAGCTGCTCATTTCACTATTCTCTAAATGATGTTGTTCTAGTTATATGCTTTTAAGCATTTAATAAGTAATTAGTAAGATACTTATTAAAGGAGGAATATGTTTATAAATATATGAATAAGCTGCTTATTAAACTATTATCGATACCATGTTAATAGGCCACTAACAATATGCCTATAAAGATATTAATAAGCTGCTTATTAATAGGTAATAGTGGTAATAGGTTACTAAAAATATGCGTTAATAAACTGCTTATTACACTATTTTGCAGTACCCTAATCTAAAGCGAGGAGCATTTTTGTTAATGCAGAAAAAAACACAACATTGATCTAAGATGTTTTTATTTATTCAAACAGCAACAATTACAGTCTGGCTCCCGCTCTAACTCTCGCTCTGATCAGCAGCTCTGATTGGTCAGAGCACGGCCCCTCTGTGCACGTGCATGACAGCCACGCACGCGTATTTGCCGCAAAGCATCATGGGAGCTCGTCCACTGCGCAGAACCGGGAGGACCAGACGATGCCCAAAAATAGGCGAGTTCCGCTAATCTCTCAGGCTCGTGAAGTCAGTTGATTCACTGTTTTGCCAAAGCCAAATTCATTAACAGAGCAGGTCGGAGCATGAGTGGGTTCATCATGGCTCCTGAAGTTACTAACAAACTTTTGGCACAAACTTCATTTTGATTTTTTTTTTTCATTTAGACTGTAATTGTTGCTGTTTGAATAAATAAAAACATCTTAGATCAATGTTGTGTTTTTTTCTGCATTAACAAAAATGCTCCTCGCTTTAGATTAGGGTACTGCAAAATAGTGTAATAAGCAGTTTATTAACGCATATTTTAAGTGGCCTATTACCACTATTGCCTATTAATAAGCAGCGTATTAATATCTTTATAGGCATATTGTAAGTGGCCTATTAACATGGTATCGATAATAGTTTAATAAGCAGCTTATTCATATATTTATAAACATATTCCTCCTTTAATAAGTATCCTACTAATTACTTATTAAATGCTTAAAAGCATATAACTAGAACAACATCATTTAGAGAATAGTGAAATGAGCAGCTTATTAATGTGTTTATAAGTACATATAAGCAATCTATAAGCATGTTGCTAATGTCTATTAATACCTTATTAATACTTAACAAGCACACCTTAATATAAAGCGTTACCGAGTAGGGTCATCGCGTTATTGTGTTTAGTCCATGCTCTTCATCCAGACGGAGGCGTAAGGCTTTTTGGAGGCTCCATGTAGCACTCGAAGCACAAATAGCTGAAATTAGCCGGCCCTGCCCCCGGTGTTGCTGTGACACAGTCTCGGCTCCAAAAGCAGCAGAAATATAGGGGGAAAAAAACAAAAACTGTAATTAAAGAAGCATTATGAAATATTTGCATGTCAAGTCATCATTAAATGGCCCCAATATTTCAAAAGCTCTTTTCGAATACATCTTTAACTGATAACGGTAGTTCAGCCGAGATATTTGTATATCTAAAATACTTGGGGATAAATATAACTAAGGACATTTCCAAGTTATTCCATTATCACAAGCAATTAAATCTGATATTTAGAGGTGGAATCTTAACCCCTTTCTTAATAGTGATTAGACAGCCCTGAACATTGGAAGCCGTATTGGGCATTATCTTTTTAAAATTATACTGTATATATAAAAAAAAATTCCCAAAGATTTCGCCGTGACGTGGCTAGACGGGTAACAGTTGAGCTAGCCAACTAACTAGAACTCTCTGGAACTACATGAAAAGTGAACAAAGAATTCTGAACATCAGCGGAGAGTTACCCAAATATAAACTTAATCTAAATCCATAATCAGATCCTCTGCAAATGTGTACTTAAAATGTTCTACTAATGTTAAAGCCATCCTGTGTCATTTTTACCGCTGCTCCATATGCAAAAACATGTTTACTAATAACAAATGTGACCTTTTTAAGAACATTTACCTCCATCATGTTTTTTAATTGGTATTCATTGGCTTAGAATTTAACTTATAAGTGTCCATGAGAGAGGAGGACTATCTGTGTAAATGCGCCATCTTGGAAAATGGTGGTGGATAAGGGACAAAAAAATGCGAGAATCGCGTTTCGTTTCACATAAGCTACTGATATTGTTGCTTTCACCGTACCTTCTTAAGTTGGAAGAAGGAACCATGAAGGACCACAGTTATATAAACGAACCATGAAGGACCACAATTATGTAAAAACAAACAACAATCTTTTAGAAAAATAATTATGCAGAAGTCCAGTGTCATAGCAGCAAAGTGTAAACAATACTTAACTTTTTCACACTGACAATAATGAGAACGAGGCAGACTCTGCTACACAGCCTCAGGATGTTCTGACCCGATCCGAGCGCAGTCCAACTACTATCACAAGTTTCAACTAAACTTATTCAGGGACAAGCCTCAAATAAAACACACACAGAATCCCCACAAAACAATCGCCAGAATTCTTACAGCAGCGTGAGTGAATGTTCTGTTTCTTACCTGGTGATGCAGATAGGGCGCTGTGGCTAACACTAATGCTATCATGGGCTTTTAGCCATGTCCTGCTGCTGCTGTGTATATCTCCTGCTTCTTTGATCACCGTTGTTTTAAGCTCCCACGGACGTTATTCCTCCATGTGTCTCTTCTCTTCACACCGCGTTTGTAAAACTATATATTATAATAGATCCATGGTAAAACACAGTAGAGCCTCTGTGCAGTGGGTACTGCTGTCTGAAGGCGGTCTTGTTTATATGTCGGCTCCACACGTCTGTCAAGTGCCTGTCTTTGACAGGCACTTGACTGTGCCCTCAACTGTTGCTCCTCAACTGTAAGGCCACCGTACATGAGTAAACTGCAATATAAGAACTCTTGATGGCACTAAATATTATACAGTGTCCCTTTTAATAGTTAATAGTTGCGATCGCTTTTTGACGCATTAAAACAATATTTTTGTCATGAAAATGTTAACAGATAATTCTGAAAACCTCCGTGCACATGTGTTAATAATGTATATGTATAATGTATTCTTCGATTAACATTTAAATGTGTTGACTTCTGCTAGTACTCGCTGCCATCTTTGTTTTGAGTCTCACAAATCGACACGCATATTTTGCGTCAACATATTTTTTGCGTCAACGTCATCGATTACGTGGATGGCCAAGCCCTACTTGGCAGCAGTGATCGCAGACAACCACTAGGCCGAGCAGGTGAAAGTTTTAAGATCTTGGATTGATCACAAGTTAAAAATATTGTATAAAATAGCCAGAGTTTGTGATATTGGTGGTGCACTGAACAACTTCCGCTAGGTCGCCTATGAAACGGATTTCCAGTCGAACAAAGTTTATAAAATGTTCCACGCCTGGACTGATAAAGGGTTTACTTCATACCTTTAATTTACACGATGTCACGGTGTCATAGCGCCGCAGTGAGAGCTCTGGTGCTCACGATCTGTGTTTTGCTGTTTTTCGTCTTTGAGTCACTTGCTGCTGTGAGATATGACCGAGAAACACTTCTGTACATTCGGGACCATACGTGTGACTGGTCACTCGTCTTGCCCGAACTGAGGTGCATTAACTTCCTCGAGTGTCCCACTCGGACAGAGTGAAGGAGACCACGGGCAAGGCCAGAGGCGGAGGTGTGTGCTTTTTAATTAATCAGCGCTGGTGCACGGACACTCGCATCGTGAACCAAACATGTACTGCCAATCTGGAATGCCTGGTCTTGAGCTTCCGCCCTTTTTATCTTCCCCGTGAGTTTTCAGGGATATTTTTATGTGCTGTTTACATTCACCCACGTGCGGATTACAAAGTAGCCCTACAGGATCTGAGCGAGATCCTTCACAAACATGAGTCTGCTCATCCTAACGCAGTCATCATTGTTGCTGGGGATTTCAATAAATGTAATTTAAAGACTGTACTCCCGAACTTTTACCAACATGTGACTCAAGCTACAAGAGGAGCACATGTTCTGGATCACTGCTACAGTAACGTGAAGGGAGCTTACAGGTCCAGTCTCAGACCTCCTTTTGGAAAGTCTGACCACTCCTCTGTTCTCCTTCTTCCGTCATATACTCAGAGGAGCAGGGAACATAAACCAACCTCTCGCACTGTGCAGTGTCGGTCTGAGGAGGCTAGCATGAAGCTACAAGGTTGTTTTGATGCTACGGACTGGTCTGTGTTTCAGTCAGAGGACGTCAATGAATTCTGTGACGCTGTGTCTGGATACATACGCTTCTGTATTGACTGTTGTGTCCCACAGAAGGTCATTAAAGAACATTTTAGTCAAAACCCTTGGATGAACGCGGAAGTGGAACTGAAACTTAATGAGCTTGCGTTGGCGTTTCAATCAAATGATACAGTTGCTTATAAGCTAGGCAAGGCAAGGCAAGTTTATTTATATAGCACAATTCATACACAAGGCAATTCAAAGTGCTGAACAAAACAAGAAAGCATTAAAATCATAAATTATCACAGAACATTAAAAAGAAAGACAAAAATATAAAATCCCTCAGTTGTATGCACAGTTAAACAGAACTGTCTTTAACCTGGTTTTAAACATTGTCAGAGAGGAGGCCTGTCTCACATCTTCAGGAAGACTGTTCCAGATTTTAGCAGCATGAATCTGAAAAGCAGCCTCCCCATGTTTAGTTCTGACTCTGGGCACTAACAGGAGTCCAGTCCCTGTGCTCCTCAGAGTCCGGGCTGGTTCATATGGGACTAACATGTCACTAATATATTTTGGTGCGAGGCCATGGAGAGACTTGTACACAAGCAGAGCTGTTTTAAAGTATATTCTCTGAGCCACAGGAAGCCAGTGCAGAGACCTGAGAACTGGACTAATGTGGTCGTACTTCCTGGTTCTAGTCAGGACTCGAGCTGCTGCATTTTGAATGTACTGCAGCTGTTTTACAGCCTGTTTGGACAGACCTGTGAGCAGGCCATTGCAGTAGTCTAACCTACTGGAGACAAATGCATGGATAAGAATCTCCAAGTCGGCTTTAGACACTATGTTTTTGATCCTGGCAATGTTTTTTAGATGGTAAAAAGCTGCTGATGTTACTGTTTTGATGTGGCTATTAAAATTTAAGTCTGAGTCCAGTATTACCCCTAGATTTCTGACCTTGTTTGAAGGTTTTAGGGAGAGAGACTGTAGGTGACAGATGACGCTCTCTCTTTGTTTCTGGGGACCAAAGACAATCATTTCAGTTTTGTCTGCGTTTAGCTGAAGGAAGTTGTTTTGCATCCACTCACTGATCTGTTGGATACAGTGAAGGAGTGAGTCCACTGGTCCATGTTCTCCTGCAGTCAGTGAGACATAGATCTGAGTGTCGTCTGCATAGTTATGATAGGAAACTTTGTTTCTGCGTATTAACTGACCTAACGGCAGCATGTAGAGATTGAACAGAAGAGGT